AGTTTGGAATAAAATTAATGGTAAACATTTATTATATTTTAATTTTTATATTGAATTAATATAATTAATTAATAGGGGAGATTAAACTTTAACTAATAAAATGTGTACTTAGATGGTGATTAATTTTGCTGGTTTAAATAAATTTGATCCTTATTTTAGTCAGACAATTTACTATTAGATTCAAAAGGGTTCTACATAAGAAATACCATATTACTAATAGTTCAAAAAACCTCTTTCCTATTTATACTTGTAGGAATTATAATAGTCAAATTCATGTAATAAATAATTTTATTTATTTTAATAACTTATATTAATTAATATCTTAAAATAAATAAGGTTCAAATAATTGCATAAGATGTATTTAAGATTAGTCAGGGGTTAATAAATGTTTAAAGTGTGAATATCTCTTTTACGTTACACCTTAGTATGTATGCTAACCTTGTCCTTCTTAATGTTTAGAGTGTGGAATGAGTATCTTATAAGAAAATCAGTTTTTTAATTTCGAAGATTTAAGTTACGATTAATATCTTAGCGGTGTTTTTAATATGAATAGTGCTACTTTTTCATGTAGATCTTGTTAGACAGGATTTTTAATTAATTTCGACTTTTAAACTTGTGTGCCTTGTGGAATTTAATGCTAAGAATGTGTTTACAGTAATATTATTTTATTAATTTATCTATGAAAAACAAAGAAATATTATTTTTTTTTAATTTTTAATAAATTTATTAAAAAAATAATAATAATTAAAAAAATACTTTTTAAAAAATAAAAAAATAAAACTTTACCAAATAAATATTAATAAAAGAAAAATTTTTTTAAAAATTATACCATAATTCCTCTTTACGATTGTACGAATCGCGTACGAGGAATAAATATATTTAGGCAAATTAAAATTTTAATATACAAAAATAATTTTTATTTACATTTTTAACTAATAATGCTAATTTATATATATATAATACTTAGTGACTACTGATGGTAAACTAGTTAACAAGAAGTATTATAACTTTCATATTTTTGCTTAATAAAATTTAATTCCTTATTGTTTAAAATGTTCTCCTGGATTCAAGCGCAGTGCTAATAGTAAATTTAAAATTTTAAATAAAGTTTTAATTCCTTCTTATAAAAAGGGTTTGATTGCTCATAAATTGTGGCAAATAGTCAACCTAGTTGCTATGACTATGATTTTATTTCTTCTATAAATTTGATAAGTACAAAAACCTATTTAAATTATTATTATATTCCTGGAGAAACAAGCATATTTAATTGTAACTATTGCTATCCTAATACATGCTTACAACCTTAATTTAGAACATGCTTAAATCTTGGTGTTCCTTTGTATTTAAATAATACTTCTATTATCTGTAAGTCTTATTTTTAACCAACAAATGTCACTTTTGCAGGTAGCAATTATGAGTATAATTTGTGTTAATATGGTTATCCCTTAATTATAGCAACTAATGGTTAATTATCTTGTGATGTAAATTAATATTGCAACCATCTGGTATTAAATAAAGATATTTATGTCAATTTATTTTATTTATTTATTTTTTATTTTTTCATTTAAAATAAAGATGTTGAATTGTTTAAATTGCTATGAATTTTAGAATTATTAAGATGGTTCATTGTATTAATGTATTTAATGTAAAGAAGGAATATATTCCAA